ATATCAAGGACAGCAAATAGACTGTAGTTTACAGATAGTAGCATATAGAATGCAGCAAATAGACTGTAGTTTACAAAAGTAGCATATAGATTGCAGCAAATAAACTGTAGTTTACAGATAGTAGCATATAGAATGCAGCAAATAGACGGTGCCATAAATATTACGTCATGTGGATTGCACTGAATAGACTGTGGAATGTTGATTAGGGTAAATATAAACTAGCTGATAGATTTTTGGCTGCTTAGTTAGTTAACATATTGATTTTTGGTTGGCTAATTAAACTGCTAAATGTGTAGATAAAAATCAATTATTATTTTATTTTAGACCAAACGTACAGTAATTTAAGTATCTGGGGCACATGGATAATGCATCAGATGGAAGACTGCATAACTGAAATAAGAAACATATTGGAACCAGGCAAATAACTGTATTTTATAAAATGAAAAGCATATAGAATGCAGATATATCCTTGTAATGAGAGTTAGAAAAAGAATTCTTAGCTTGCTAAATACATCCAGTTTTTAACATATGAGCATGTGAATCCTGGACATATCGGTAGTTTAGGCCAAACAATTTTTGGAGGCCTCAATAGATGTAGTTTTTTACAGAAGAATGCTTAGAATACCTTGGACAGCCAAAAAGAGCAACCAGTGTTTTAAAAGAGGCGGGAGACCGAAGACAAACTTGTCACTGACATCAGAAGGAGACAGTCATCATTTTTTCGGCCATGTTATGAGAAGAGGGAAAATAGAAGATTGTTGTGACCTTTTTAAAGATAACTGTGGAAGGAGGGATAGAGGAATTAAACGAGAGAATTGCTTGACAGTCTTGTTGCATTGCATGGACTTGCTGTCGGCATGCGAACTGATACATGCTGCAGGAGATCGCGGATTAATGGAGAGGCATTGATCGCCCACGCCAATTCGGCAAGGCCCTTATTTATGATGATTCTTAATCTTGGTCATTTCATTGGTTGGTTGGTAGGATATTGAACTGACTTGCTGTTTTATGCAGCAGGTTGGACATGGTAGAGTTTTTGATGTTTTCCTTAAACGATTGGAATTGAATTCAATCATTGGGTGAATTTGTAGTTCTTCTTCTTCTTCTTCTTTTTCTTCTTTTTCTTTTTCTTCTTCTTCTTCTGCTTCTTCTTCTTTTTTTTTTCTTCTTCCTCTTCTTCTTCTTCTCCTTCTTTTTCTTCTTCTTCTTAGTTCCGGGGCTGTAAGCTCTGGCAGTTAAGTATTGTTTGTTCGTCCATTTGGACTTTGGATTTGTGCCCGGGCCTGCTTTTTGCGTGTACATCCGTTTTACTTATTTGTGTGCAGTTGGTTGTTCCTTGTCTTGTAGTTAATTGATTAGTTCATTGGTAAGTTACTCAGTGTGTTGGCTAACTGGTAGGTTTGTTGGTTTGATTGTTGGATCTGTTAGCTGTTTGGTTTGTTCGTTGTTTGGTAAACTTCCTGTTAGCTGTTTGGTTTGGTTCGTTGTTTGGTAAACTTCCTGTTAGCTGTTTGGTTGGTTCGTTGTTTGGTAAACTTCCTGTTAGCTGTTTGGTTGGTTCGTTGTTTGGTAAACTTCCTGTTAGCTGTTTGGTTGGTTCGTTGTTTGGTAAACTTCCTGTTAGCTGTTTGGTTGGTTCGTTGTTTGGTAAACTTCCTGTTAGCTGTTTGGTTGGTTCGTTGTTTGGTAAACTTCCTGTTAGCTGTTTGGTTGGTTCGTTGTTTGGTAAACTTCCTGTTAGCTAGCTGTTCTTTGACTTATTAGCTGAGTAGTTGCTGGTTGTTGGGGAGGGGGGTGGGGCTTAACATATCCCGGGGGGACGGGGGAAACGGGGGAACGGGGGGGGGGACGGGGGGACGGGGGACTGGAGGGGACGGGGGGACGGGGGACGTTTTAACGGGGGACCCCGCTGAGGGAACGGTGGACGGTTCACAGTATTTATGTAACTACGGGGTGGACGGGGGGACGGGGGGACGGGGGAAACGGGGGATCGGGGGCGGGGGAAGGGGGGGACGGGGTCAAAGGGGACGTGGGGGGGACATGACGGGACATTGGGGGGGATCATTCCCTGGGGGGGGGAATAAGATACGGGGGGAACGGGGGACGGGGCAACAGGGGGGACCGTGGGGAACAGGTCCGATCCGTGGTTATGTATCGTTTTGTGAGGTAGTTGTTTAGTTGGCTAGTTAGTTTAATGATTGGTTGATCAGCTGGTTGCTAGATAGTTGCCTGGTCTACTGCTTGGTTGTTGGCTAGTTGGTTGGTATATTGGTTGGTTGCTTTTAAGTTTTTTTTTTTTTTTAATGAAGTTGGTTGATTTGCTAATTATTAGTGTTTGCAGAGATGGCCTATTGGTTGATTTTGTTGGTTTGATATTTAATTGCTTAACATATCCCTCGTCTATCTGATAAGAAATATATTATAATTGCAGTGATTAACCAAAGATCGATTTGCCTAGCGCCAGTTTTAATGAGCCCCGCTGAGGTAATTGTGGCCGTTCCAGTATTTATGTAACTAAGAAACACTCAGTTATTTATGTTATCAAAAAACGGGATTAATAACTTTTTAAAGTGCGTTTTAAATGGTCACAGGTGACGTGGTTGCTACATGACGTGAATCATTGTAGCGTGGCCATTCTCTGTCTCATGACGTGAATCATTGTAGCGTGGCCATTCTCTGTCTCATGACGTGAATCATTGTAGCGTGGCCATGCTCTGTTTGGTTAGAATAAGATACTGTAGAACAACAGATCAGTCATCCGTGGAGAACAGATCTGTCATCCGTGGGGAACAGATCAGTCATCCGTGGAGAACAGATCAGTCATCCGTGGAGAACAGATCAGTCATCCGTGGAGAACAGATCAGTCATCCGTGGAGAACAGATCTGTCATCCGTGGAGAACAGATCAGTCATCCGTGGAGAACAGATCAGTCATCCGTGGAGAACAGATCAGTCATCCGTGGAGAACAGATCAGTCATCCGTGGAGAACAGATCTGTCATCCGTGGAGAACAGATCAGTCATCCGTGGAGAACAGATCAGTCATCCGTGGAGAACAGATCTGTCATCCGTGGGGAACAGATCAGTCATCCGTGGAGAACAGATCTGTCATCCGTGGGCAGCAGATCAGTCATCCGTGGGCAGCAGATCAGTCATCCGTGGGCAGCAGATCAGTCATCCGTGGGCAGCAGATCAGTCATCGGTGGAGAACAGATCTGTCATCCGTGGGCAGCAGATCAGTCATCCGTGGAGAACAGATGAGTCATCCGTGGGCAGCAGATCAGTCATCCGTGGACAACAGATGAGTCATCCGTGGGCAACAGATGAGTCATCCGTGGGCAACAGATCAGTCATTCGTGGGCAGCAGATCAGTCATCCGTGGGCAACAGATCAGTCATCCGTGGGCAACAGATCAGTCATCCGTGGGCAACAGATCAGTCATCCGTGGGCAACAGATCAGTCATCCGTGGGCAACAGATCAGTCATTTGTGGGGAACAGATCAGTCATTTGTGGGGAACAGATCAGTCATCCGTGGGGAACAGATCAGTCATCCGTGGGGAACAGATCAGTCATTTGTGGGGAACAGATCAGTCATCCGTGGGGAACAGATCAGTCATCCGTGGGCAACAGATCAGTCATGGCTACCGGTACCACTTAGCTCCCTTCACGTTCTCTAGGGCATGCGAGCTCGGCTAACCCCCCTCTCCACCCCCTTTTCCACTCCAACTGTTTCTGGGCGCTGTCTTAAGGTTCCTGGGTTCTCAGTTTCCCGGGTTCTCAGGTTCCCGGGTTCTCGGGTTCCCAGGTAGGCGCGCTCACGGTTCCTAAGTCCTCAGGTTTCAGCGCCTATATTTACATTGTTCTGTTTGTGTCATCCATTCTGTGGGTGCCAGCCCCAAGCCAACCCGCCTTATTCGACTATTAGGACATGCATGATGGGTTGCATTATTACTATCATTTAGCCTTATGATAGGTCACAGTTACAAAATGACTCAAAATGCTCTACCGGAGATTAAACTTCTCCTCGTGGTCGAATCTTGTCACGAAGACCATAACCTGGGGTCGTTCACTTGTCGTCGACCAAAATCCAATGTGTCCCTGCATCTGAAAACTGTCTACGTGGATCCAAAGCATCTGTGTGTATCTTCCACTGCGCTGATCTATTCTTGGTCCATATTCCTGTGGTTATGATATCCAGCGGTTTGCCACCGAGTGTCACTGATAGCACTCTATCTAAGATTGTCCACACTCGTTGAAATGGTTTTACAATCTATTGATTCTTTTGTCATAAACCGTTGAAATGTTTTTACAATATATTGATTCTTTTGTCATAAACCGTTGAAATGTTTTTACAATCTATTGATTCTACATTATGCCAGCTCGTCGTCCATCTTCCCTTTCTCCCTGAGTAAACAAGTCTGTTTATCTAAATATGTTTTCCCCCCTCACCAAACCAAGGCTTTCAATAATACATTATCTTTTTGTATTTACCCGCTCCCTTCATGAAGTTTTTCAGCTTGCACTTGCATAAACACTCACTTTTCATGCGTCATCGCAATATAAACAATGAGAAACTTTTATTATGCTTGTTTCAACATAAAGACGATCGCCTAACACTGTTGGCACATGGTGCTACCGTTTTAAGCTGATTCCGTTTAAAATGTCGTTTCAATCCGTTAACTAGATTCAAATAAGAAAGTATGTTTTACTACAGATAAATACAATGACGTTTCCACTTACCTTCCGCCTTTTTTTTTGTAAAGGTTCATATCAAAAAATCTTTGTTGAAACCCTCAAACTCTTCTGTTGCTACTTGTGTTGTTTCTTTATTATTATTATTATTATTATTATTATTATTATTATTATTATTATTATTATTATAGTTATTATTGTTGTTATAGTTATTATTATTATTATTATTATTATTATTATTATTATAGTTATTATTGTTGTTATAGTTATTACTATTATTATTATTATTATTATTATTACCTATTTCAGTTGCTCTGCCTATTCGCCTGGCTGTCTTCCTGTTCCCCCTAGGCCTAGTTGCTGCGGGCTACCTCATCAAGTGGCGTCGGGCATACTGGCTTACCAAGGTGAGTTAGAGAGTAACGTGTGTAGTAGACTGGCTTACCAAGGTGAGTTAGAGAGTGAAGTGTGTAGTAAACTGGCTTACCAAGGTGAGTTAGAGAGTGAAGTGTGTGGTAGACTGGCTTACCAAGGTGAGTTAGGTGGTGTGGTGTGTAGTAGACTGGCTTACCAAGGTGAGCTAGGGAGTAATGTGTGTAGTAGACTGGCTTACTACGGTGAGTTAGACTGTAAGGTGTGTAGTAGACTGGCTTACTACGGTGAGTTAGAGAGTAAGGTGTGTAGTAGACTGGCTTACCAAGGTGAGTTAGAGAGTAAGGTGTGTAGTAGACTGGCTTACTACGGTGAGTTAGACAGTGAGGTGTGTGGTAGACTGGCTTACCAAGGTGAGTTAGAGAGTGAAGTGTGTAGTAGACTGGCTTACCAAGGTGAGTTAGAGAGTGAAGTGTGTGGTAGACTGGCTTACCAAGGTGAGTTAGGTGGTGTGGTGTGTAGTAGACTGGCTTACCAAGGTGAGTTAGGGAGTAATGTGTGTAGTAGACTGGCTTACTACGGTGAGTTAGACAGTAAGGTGTGTAGTAGACTGGCTTACTACGGTGAGTTAGAGAGTAAGGTGTGTAGTAGACTGGCTTACAAAGGTGAGTTAGACAGTAAGGTGTGTAGTAGACTGGTTTACTACGGTGAGTTAGAGAGTAAGGTGTGTAGTAGACTGGCTTACTACGGTGAGTTAGACAGTAAGGTATGTAGTAGACTGGCTTACAAAGGTGAGTTAGACAGTAATGTGTGTAGTAGACTGGCTTACCAAGGTGAGTTAGACAGTAAGGTGTGTAGTAGACTGGCTTACCAAGGTGAGTTAGAGAGTAATGTGTGTAGTAGACTGGCTTACCAAGGTGAGTTAGAGAGTAATGTGTGTAGTAGACTGGCTTACCAAGGTGAGTTAGAGAGTAATGTGTGTAGTAGACTGGCTTACCAAGGTGAGTTAGACAGTAAGGTGTGTAGTAGACTGGCTTACCAAGGTGCTGCTTACCAAGGTGAGTTAGAGAGTAATGTGTGTGGTAGATTGGCTTACCAAGGTGAGTTAGAGAGTAATGTGTGTGGTAGATTGGCTTACCAAGGTGAGTTAGAGAGTAATGTGTGTGGTAGATTGGCTTACCAAGGTGAGTTAGAGAGTAATGTGTGTGGTAGATTGGCTTACCAAGGTGAGTTAGAGAGTAATGTGTGTGGTAGATTGGCTTACCAAGGTGAGTTAGAGAGTAAGGTGTGTAGTAGATTGGCTTACCAAGGTGAGTTAGACAGTAAGGTGTGTAGTAGACTGGCTTACCAAGGTGAGTTAGAGAGTAAGGTGTGTGGTAGACTGGCTTACCAAAGTGAGTTATGCAGTGAGGTGTGTGGTAGATTGGCTTACCAAGGTGAGTTAGACTGTGAGGTGTGTGGTAGACTGGCTTACCAAGGTGAGTTAGACTGTGAGGTGTGTAGTAGATTGGCTTACCAAGGTGAGTTAGGCAGTGAGGTGTGTGGTAGACTGGCTTACCAAGGTGAGTTAGGGAGTGAGGTGTGTGGTAGACTGGCTTACCAAGGTGAGTTTAGGGAGTGAGGTGTGTGGTAGACTGGCTTACCAAGGTGAGTTAGGGAGTGAGGTGTGTGGTAGATTATACCAATTAGATTTAGGGAGGGAGCTGTGTGGTGGACTGACCTGCCAAGGTGAGTTAGTGCGTTGTGTGATAGTGTGCATAACCTGCTTACACAATGTCAGCTCAGACTGGTGACATTGTTGATACATAATGTTATAACTTGTGGTGGGTTATGAAGAAGCATTGTCGCCCCAACAGTTGAAACACATTCAGAGAGAAGAAGAAAAGATTAAGGCGAGTAAAGAATAAACGGAATTACAGGAGATTTAGAAAACAACCACTGGCGCTATCAGACCCTGTATAGAGTAACATATATTTAGTATTTTACGTGTATTTTTATTCTTCCTTCTTGTATGCAAATTCTGCAGTGTGTCGCTAGATATTTCAGGTTTACAGATGAGCAGTATCAGAGCTAGGGCACGCTCGGATGCTCGGTATGCTGTAATGTTGTGTTTTATTGAGACTCCTGTATTTCATATTCTTCTTGGTCAGCCGCTACCCCCTTCAGGGTTCTACTTTTAGATTGCACGCCCGGTTGATGGCTGCCTTGGATTAATTCTCATTAAATGGCCAAACCATTTCAGTCTTTGTTTTCGGTGAATTTAATTCTAGATGACGGTGCCAAAGTTCTTGTCAATTCTTCGTTTCTCACATGATCTTTTCTGGTTTCCTTAACGGCCATTCTCAGACATTTCATTTCGCTGGTGTTTTTATTGACCCTATTAAATAGTCGCTGTCTACTGTATAGGTCGCAGGACTCGTTGGCTGCATGAACTGGTATCGCGGGGTCATGTTATCTGTATAAAATAGGGTCAGGACTGGAAGGTGTTGGGAACCGCTGAACTAAAGAGAAGATGTCCTCTAATACTGACATGTTTTGTGTTTGCAGATCGTACGTTAGGAACCGCTGAACTAAAGAGAAGATGTTCTCTAATACTGACATGTTTTGTGTTTGATGATTGTACTTTGGAAACCGCTGAACTAAAGAGAAGATGTTCTCTAATACTGACATGCTTTGTGTTTTGCAGATCGTACGTTGGGAACCGCTGAACTAAAGAGAAGATGTTTTCTAATACTGACATGTTTTGTGTTTGCAGATCGTTCGTTGGGAACCGCTGAGCTGAAGAGAAGATGTTCTCTAATACTGACATGTTTTGTGTTTGCAGATCGTACTTTGGAAACCGCTGAACTAAAGAGAAGATGTTTTCTAATACTGACATGTTTTGTGTTTGCAGATCGTACTTAGGAACCGCTGAACTGAAGAAAAGATGTTCTCTAATACTGACATGTTTTGTGTTTGCAGATCGTTCGGTTGCTGGTACAGAATTGTGTGGACGTAAACCAGGCACTCTACTTCCAAGGCCGACCACTCTTTGTGACGGCAGCTCACGTCAGAGCCAACATATTCGCTGTATCCTTGCTACATGTACCCACCTCGATAACGGCACTGTGACAACCACACTGTGACAACTACACTGTAACAACCACACTGTGATAATGGCACTGTGACAACCACACTGTGACAACTACACTGTAACAACCACACTGTGATAACGGCACTGTGACAACCACACTGTGACAACTACACTGTAACAACCACACTGTGACAACTGTACTGTGACAATCACACTGAGATAATAGCACTGTGACAACCACACTGTGACAACTGTACTGTAACAATCACACTGTGACAGTCGCACTGTGACAGACGCACTGTGGCAAGTGAACTACGATGTTGGTGCCTATGGTAGAAACTGATTGTTAAGGTGTTGATTAACCCAATGATAACTGGGGTGATGATTAGAACAATGATAACTGGGGTGATGATTAGCACAATGATAACTGAGGTGATGATCAGCATAATGATAACGGTGGTGTTATTTCTCGTAATGATAATGGTGATGTTGATTCTCAAAATGATAACGGTAGTGTTGATTCTCATAATGATAACGGTGGTGTTGATTAGCATAATGATAATGGTGGTGTTGATTAGCATAATGATAATGGGGCTGTTGATTAGCATAATGATAACTGTGCTGTTGATTAGCATAATGATAACGGTGGTGTTGATTAGCATAATGATAACGGTGGTGTTGATTAGCATAATGATAACGGTGGTGTTGATTAGCATAATGATAACGGTGGTGTTGATTAGCATAATGATAACGGTGGTGTTGATTAGCATAATGATAACTGTGCTGTTGATTAGCATAATGATAACTGTGCTGTTGATTAGCATAATGATAACGGTGGTGTTGATTAGCATAATGATAACGGTGGTTTTGATTAGCATAATGATAAATGTGGTGTTGATTAGCATAATGATAACGGTGGCGTTGATTAGCATAATGATAACGGTGGTGTTGATTAGCATAATGATAAATGTGGTGTTGATTAGCATAATGATAACGGTGGCGTTGATTAGCATAATGATAATGGTGGTGTTGATTTGCATAAAGATAACTGTGGTGTTAATTAGGGCCGAACCGAATAGTGATTTTCACTATTCGGCCGAATACGAATAGCTGGACCAACTATTCGGCCGAATACGAATACGAATAGTGAATCATCATCATCAGGTGCTTTGCCGACTGGCATGGGCGATTATGCCTCTCCGCAATCTGCGATCTCCTGCAGCATGTATTAGTTCGTGTGCTGACACACCTCCATGTCATGCAACAAGACTGTCAAGAATCTCTCGTTGTCTTTTTCTATCTCTCCTTCCACATATTTTTCCAGTGGTCACCTCATGTTCCATTTTCCCTCATCTTATAACATGGCCGAAAAATGATGACTGTCTCCTTCTGATGTCTGTTAGTAGTTGCCTTCGGGCTCCCGCCTCTTTGAAAACTTCTTTTTTTTTTTTTTTTTGGGGAGGGGGGGGGGGGGGGGGGGGGGGGGGTGTCCAAGGTTTTTAAGCATTTGTTTCTGTAAAAACCACAAGAAAATTGTTTTCTGAGGCCTCAAGAAATTGTCTGGCCTGCCTACCGATTGATTGTCCAGGACTTACAGCCATATGTTAAAACTGGGTGTATGTAGCAAGCAAGAATTCTTTTTTTTTTAACTTTCAATGACAAATATATATTACATAAGATGTTCTTCATTTTATAAAATGCATTTTTTGCCTTTTCTATTCTGTTTCCTATTTCAGTTATGCATCTTATATCTGATGTTATCCATGTGCCCTGATACTTAAATTTCTACACTTGTCCTAAAATAAAACCATTGACTTTTATTACACATTTAGGAATAATTATTTTCCTTGATACCACCATTTCTTCTATCTTCCGTCTTTTCAAACTGAGGCAAATTCTTCCACTTTTGAATAGTGTATAAAACAGATCTAAAAACACACACACACACACACACACACACACACACACACACACACACACACACACACATCCATAATGTCAAATGTACGCTGAAATTTTACTTCACAAAATGTAGTACAGAATAGTAAACATTTAAAAACATTTCCAGTTTCTGCATCCTTCATTCAGTCAGTCTGTGGTAACTAATATCTAGGAATGAAAGTATTTTTAGTTTTATAACAAGCAACTAAACTTGTAAATTGTCACTGACAGCTTAATTAATCCATAAAAGCGGCATTAGCTTTAAAAAAAAAATCGTTCCATGTTGTCAGCATTAAAGCAGCTTCTCGTTTCACTAAAATTATTTCCAGCTGTACTAAACAGACGTTCACTTGGTACGTTCGTGGGTGGTGCACAAAGATAACGCTTGACAGTATGAACTAAGGTGAGAAACATTGTTATGTTCATTTTCCACCAGTCCAGAAACGGATGTAAGGTAACCACTATTCGTATTCGGCCCGGCCGCAACTATTCGGCCGAATGCCGAATAGTTATTAGGTCCACTATTCGGCCCCGAAGCGAATACGAAGCGAATATTCGGTACAGCCCTAGTGTTAATTAGCATAATGATAACTGTGGTGTTGATCTGCATATTGATAACTGTGGTGTTGATTTGCATAATGATAACTGTGCTGTTTATTAGCATAATGATAACTGTGGTGTTGATTAGCATAATGATAACGGGTGGTGTT